GTCCCCACTATTTCCTCCCTAACTTCTCACAAGTATCCTGGGTCACACTTGATCAGGTCCCGGAAATTTATCCACCTTTATGTTTTCTACGACCTCCAGCACTTCCTCTTTTGTAATGTGAACTGTTTCAAAACATCGATATTTAATTTCCTGAGTTCTCCAGCCTTCATTTCTTTCTCCACAGTAAAAGCTGATGCAAAATATTCATTTACTATTTCTCCCATCTCCTGAAGTTCAACACAAAGATGGCCTCATTGATCTTTAAGAGGCCCTACTCTCTCTCTCTAGTTGCTCTTGTGCTCTGCATGTATTTGTAGAATCTCTTTGGATTATCCTTACCCTATCTGCCAAGACTATTTCATATCCTCTCTTTGCGCTCCTGATCTCCCTCTTAAGAATGCCCCTCGACTCTTTATACTGTTCAAGAGATTCATTTGATCCCAGTTGTCCATATCTAATGTATGATTCTTCTTTATTCTTGACTAGAACCTCAACTATCTTTTTTCATCCATTGTTCCCTAATTTTATCAGTCTTAGCTTTCACTGTAACAGGAACATAATGCCTCTGAACTCTCATTAGCACACTTTTGAAAGTCTCCCACTTGTCAGTTGTCCCTTTAGCTGCAAACTGTGTGACCCAATCAACTTTTGAAAGTTCTTGTCCCATGCCATTAAAATTTGCCTTACTCCAAGTAAGAACTTTAACTTTTATGGAACGCTAATGCTTTTTATAGCTATTTTAAAACAATAGAATTATGATCGCTAATCTCAGTGTTCCCTGACTAAAACTTCAGTCACTTGCCCTGCCTTATTACCCAAGAGAAGGTCAAGTTTTGCTCCTTCTCTGGTAGGAACATTTACATATTGATAAAGAAAATTTTCTTGAAAACATTTAACAAATTCTTAACCATAAACCTTTAACACTATGGCATTCCCATAATAAGAAAATAATTTTGGCAGTTTTTTTTCAGTAATTAATTCGATTATGGCATTTTTAAAGAGATAGAAAATACCACTGTAACGACTGGTAAATGATTTTAATCAAAATTTAAGTTTTGGGATAAAGGTGAGTGAAAAATAATTAAAGAGGAAAGAATATGAGTGAAGGATGTTTGTTAAATTAATAGAGATGACTTGCATTTATCGCACTCCTTTCTGAACCTTAGGACATCGTAATGCACTTCAAGGCTATGAAGTCATTGAAGTATAGTGAATGTTGTGATGCAGTGAAATATGACAATCAATTTGCCACAGAGCGTTCCCACAAGCGCAGGGGAGTGCAAGCCCTCTTGGGAAAAACCCAGGTTGGAGTGTCTGCAGGCCCATGGCTTAAGAAAGGACTGTAATGTTTGACTTTTTAAACTTTATTTATTTATTTTTCTGCCTGTGTAACTAAGATTTGTACCTAGGTACCTTCTACCTAAGATGGCACTGTGTGTTTTTTTTTCTATTCATTTGCAGGATGTGGGCATCGCTGGCTAGCCAGCATTTCTTGCCCATCCCTAGTTGCCCTTGAGAAGGTGGTGGTGAGCTGCCTCCTTGAACTGCAGAGGGAATTCCAAGATTTTGACCCAGCGTCAGTGAAGGAATGGCGATATATTTCCAAGTCAGGATGGTGAGTGACTTGGAGGGGAACTTGGAGGTGGTGGTGTTCCCATATATCTGATGCCTTTGTCCTTCTAGATGGAAGTTATGGATTTGGAAGGTGCTGTCTGAGGATCTTTGGTGAAATTCTGCAGTGCATCTTGTAGATAGTACACACTGCTGCTACTGAGCGTCGGTGGTGGAGGGAGTGAATGCTTGTGGATGTAGTGCCAATCAAGCGGGCTGCTTTTTCCTGGATAGTGTCAAGCTTCTTGAGTGTTGTTGGGGCTGTACTCATCCAGGCAAGTGGGGAGTATTCATCACACTCCTGACTTGTGCCTTGTAGATGGCAGACAGGCTTTGAGGAGTCAGAAGGTGAGTCAGGAGGTGTAGTGACATTGTACACTTTTCACTGCACTCTTCTACCCATACTTGAGTACATGTGACAATAAAACCTAATCCTAAATGTAAACAGCAACTAACCTGTTTAATGACCTTGGCTGAAGCATTGATATTGGTCAGAATATGGCAAGAACTCTTCCATCAGTACTTGCTTTTTAAGACTATTAGAAAGGGTGGCCAAGAACTTGAATTAACATGTCAACCGAAAGATGGCACCCCCTCTCCGCTGCACTGGAATGTTGGATCATGTGCTTAAGGTCTCTAGAGTGGAGCTTGAAATCACAAACTTCTGATTCAGAGGCAAATGAAAACGGGATTAGAACAGAAGAAAGGAGAGTATTAGATTTGTGTGTTAAAGATATACTTGGGGAAGAGAGAAATGAGAACTGAACAGAGGAAAGTGATGAAATGCTGGTTTAAAACAATAAACAGTAAGAGTAAAAGGCAATACTGGGCCCCGCTGCACAAGGAAGTTTAATATAGAAAAGTACAGGGGTAGTGCCAGGCCGTGAGAAGATAGATAGAAATGGGTTTAAAATTCAAATACAGGATAAGAAAAACTCAAATTACAGCAAGGGCAAAGAACAAGGAAGAATCAATATTAATTTAAGCAGTGTATATTTGGAATTTTGCAGATGATCAATGTGTTGTGGACTGCTAAACTGGGAGAAGGGTAGAAATTTCAGGCTGTCAACCTGTAACTAGTGGAGTGCCGCTAGAATCAGTGCTGGGATAACAGCTATTTACATATATATTATTGACTAAGATGAGGAAAATGCATCTGCTATAGCGAAGTTTACAAATAAGACAAAAGTAGGTGTGAAGGCAAGTGGTGAGAATGACAGAGTCTGCAGATAGAAACAGCTGAAAAGGAAGAAACTTGGCAGATAGAATATAATGTGTGAAAATGTGTGCTTATGCATTTTGGCTGGAAGAATAAAGGAGGAGAATGTTGTTTAAATGGAGAAAGACTACAGAAAGCCAGAGCACAGAGGAATTGGGAGTCCTTCTGCATAAATCAGAAAAAGGTAACACACAAGTTCATCGGGTAATAGGGATGGCAAATGGAATGTTGGGTTTTATTTCAAAGGGAATTGAGAACAAAATAAGGAACTCTTGCTAAAACTATACAAGGCATTAGTGACACCACTCCTGGAATACTGTGAACAATTTTGGTTCCCTTACTTTGGTAAAGGTAAACAGCTATTGTAGCCAGTCCAAAGATGCTTCACTAGTTTGATCCTGGATATTGGGAGGGGGAACTGTCTTATGAAGGGAGTTAAATAGGTTGGGCCTACAACTCACCGGAGTTTAGAAGAGCAAGAGGTGACATTATTGAAACATACAAGCTTCTTGGAGGACTTCACAGGTGGATTTGGAAAGGTTGTTTCCCCTTTTTTGAGAACCTAGGACCATTGAGCGTAATCTGAGAATAAGGGCTGTCCCATTTAAGACAGAAATGAGAAGGAATTTCTTCTCTGAGGGTAGTGAATTTGTGGAATTCTTTATCACAGAGGACTGTAGAGGCTGGGTTATTAAGTATATTCAAGGCCGAAATAAGGGAATTTTGAACCAGTAAGAGAATCAAGGGTTATGAAGAAACTGCAGGAAAGTGGAGTGGAGGGGCGGTACGGTGGCTCAGTGGTTAGCACTGGCTGCTTCACAGCGCCAGGGACCCGGGTTCGATTTTTCGGGCGACTGTGTGGAGTTTGCATGTTCTCCCTGTGTCCCCTTGGGTTTCCTCCGGGTGCTCCGGTTTCCTCCCACAGTCCAAAGATGTGCAGGCCAGGTGCATTGGCTGTGTTAAATTGCCCATAGTGTTCAGGGATGTGTCGATTTGGTGGGTTATAGGGAAATGGGTCTGGGTGGGATGCTCCGAGGGTTGGTGTGGACTGGTTGGGCCGAAGGGCCTGTTTCCACACTGGAGGGATTCTATGATCAGATCACTGGAACAGATTTGATTGGCTGAATAGCCTACTTCTGCTGCCATGTCTTATGTTCTTTAAGTCAAAAGTGGGCGATGATCCAAGGCTGGAGGGGGTGCAGAACACAGACCTATAGGATTTGACAGGATGATTGTTAGGGAAACACTGGGGGCACAGGGCCACTCAGCCCATTTCCATCACAGAAATTGATCATGGTTGGCCTATACCTCAACTTCATTGACTTTCCTTGGTTCCCTAATATTTAATTCTCATACCGAGGAATACCCAACAATCCAAAATTTGAAACCGTTAAAACAAACACCCAGCCTGCATATCCAAACTGTGTAGGAAATAGCATGCAAAAGAGATGTACCACAATGTTACTTGGGCTGGAGTGATTTAGCAATGAAGAGAGACTAGATAGGCTGGGGTTGTTTTCCTTGAAGGAGTGAGGGCTGAGGTGATGTGACTGAAGTGTACAAAATGATGAAGGGCACAGAGGGGGTAGGTAGGAAGAAAATTCTCCAGTGTACAGGAGTCAATAAGTAGGGGGCACAGTTTTAAGGTAAGGGGCCAGAGGATTAGACTGGATTTGAGGATTTTTGTTTGCAGCCAGAGGGTGGTGGGTATATGGAACTCACTGCCTGTAGGGTGGTAAAGGAAGGAACACTCACAACATGCAAGAACTATTTGGATGAGCACCTAAAGTCAGACACAGCACACAAGGTAACGGACCAAGCGCTGGAAAATAGAAGGATGTTTGATGATGGGCGAGAACCCGAAAAGGTTTGTTTCCCAAATGTAAAAAGAAAACCTCTTGGACAGTTGTAGGTTCCCACCTGCCCCTTTGTGTATATGTGAACCTTGCTATCATCCCCAACAGTCCACCCTCTCTAATGGTTAGGATTGTTCTGGACTGTCTCAGCAGAGGGAATCTCCAGAGCTGATGTGAGTCCAGGTCTTGTACCCCCCCTCCCCCTGAGAAGTGACATTGTGTTTATTCATTTCCATCGCCTCTTCCCAGGGCCCGGGCCCTTAACATAGGGACATGCCTCACTTAGGCCCTTCTGCCGCCTCCGTTAAACCCACCGTGACCTCGCTGGTGAGGGCAAGACCCTCCCTTCCTCCTCCTCTCTCCGCTTTGCCGCTGACAAGAACCTTGTTGCCGTCTTCCTCGCCGCCACTCTTCTGGGTCACCCTGCGGGTTCCGTCACTAGGGTAACCTGCGTCCGGAACTCCTGTCAGAGCGCAGCGGTTTCCGTAACGGAGACATTCCGTGAGGCGACCAACCGTACGTCACTTCCTGGGCAGCGCCCCGATACTGCACCCTCTGCTGGTCGGAGGTGTGCGGCTACGAAAGGGCGGCGGCGGCAGCGGCCCGCGCCGCCCCCCGCAGTTCATCATGTCTGGACACATTTAATGTTAAGGTTAGGCTCCTTTATTTTCTTCCATGAGAGGAAAGAGGTTTTTTTTTAAAAATTGCGTTTATGGTTTTAATAAAACTAAGTACTTATAGTTAGTAGATATTATTTACTCTTGTAGATGGGAAGTGTGAACGGAAAGTAAAGTCCCCTCGACATGTACCCAACCAGCTCCCGGGACAGAAATAGCACGGGGTTCAATACAGAGGGAGGTGACCCCTCCTCCCACACTGAAATAAAAATAAAACTTTAAGTAAAGTCCTCTGCACACAGTCCCCCTCGAACACTGCCAGGACAGGGACAACAGGGGGTTAATACAGAGGCTAAAGCTCCCTCACGGAGTCCAAAAATAACAAAAATGAAACAGGGCCTACGGGGGGCAGTGTATCAAATCAAACACAAACCATAAAGTCGAATGGAAACTTACAGAACCAAACAGAAACTCACCCAATCACAATAACATCGTCTGGGTCGATGAAGTAGCCCAGCCCCTGCGGTGCCCACCTTCTCAAAAGGCCTCACCCCTGTCAATAAGCACCGCATGCTGTCGTCCTTCCGGAGTATCTGAGCTCGGCTGGAATGGCCCACTGCCTGGATCTGTTGATGGTCAGCTTGTCCAGGCCCATGACTGGGTTCAAACAACCTGGTTAGAGAGGTTATTACACATAGCTGGAATTTGAACCCAAGCTTCCTGGCTCAGAGGTAAGGACGCTACTAGTGAGCCACAAGAGCCCTAATATTATGTATAACTTTTCTAACAGCCAACTAGCATGAAATGCAGAAGCTGTATCACATAGTCCTGTCTCAACACTTTCATTATTGTCCAAGGCCCTGGTCAATCACTTCTAAGAAGTGATTAAGGAGCGATCCCATTGAGAACCAGATATTTTCTAATCAAGCTGTTCACAGATGCTATTACACACCACTGGAGAGGTGGAACCTGAACCCAGGCCTCCGGGTGCAGGAGTAGGCACAAGTGAGCCCTATAGGGTGACAAAACTAAGGGAGGCCACGTGTGATCTAACTAATTAACAGAATGACCTCGTATTCCCAAATTCCTGAAGGAAGGGAATCAAGCTGACATTTTAAACTCTGTTCTTCTGGTCACAAGGGCTGCCTGACCTACTGAGGCTTTCCGCCAATTCTTATTTCTTTGTTGTCATTCCCGGTGCATAAGCAATAACTAATCCACGCAGCAGATGACAGTAAGTTAATACTCAGGCAAGATGGTGGTTGAGTAAAATGCTCCTGCCAGAGCTCCTCTGCTGCACCTGTTTGTTTTCTGGTTTTTTAACCCCCTCTTCACCCTTCCCTTAGCCCTGGAAGGGCAAGTCCCAGAGAAGCATTGGGTAGTAGCCCCAAAGCAGCCCAGAGGCAGTGAGTCCCAGGTGGAGACAGTCCTGGAACTTATCTTGGAGCAGCTGAGCGCCAGTACGGAGAGAACTGGAGGCTTGGTGCAGAGCAGGAACAGCTACTGAATTGGGGTCTGGCACGTGCGGTCAGACCACACGCAGAGACCCTATACTGAGCTACGACAATGTAGTATTTATTCGAAATTTTTAGCCTTACTTTTAATGTCCATCCTTTAACAAAGTCTTATTTCTAAATTATTTTTTAAACGCTGAAGTAATGCAATTAATTTTTATTCCTCTGTTGCATCCAAGATTTGTACTTGTACCTAAGATGTCATTGTAAGAGGTATACAGCGTAAAAGCTTTTCATTGTACTCATACAATAGATTACAGCTGACAACAAAGAGTATTCTATTCTAGACACAGTTCGAGCTGCTGTAGGTTTCAATGTGTCTGGTTTCTTTGGGATTACAATCCACAGAAGCTGCCAGCAGCAAAGTGAAGGTCCTTTAAAGCTTTTTTTTCCCCCCTGAAGGGTCCAGACCCAAAACGTCAGTTGTTTTCCTGCTCCTCTGATGCTGCTTTGCCTGCTGTTTCATCCAGCTGTACACCTTGTTATCTCAGATTCTCCAGCAATGGCAGTTCCTACCATCTCCGTCCTCTAATGCTGCCATTTTTAAGTTTGTGACAGGTTCCACTTAAATGAAAATTCACCAGAAAAAAAAGCAATAACTGTGCAAACCACAAAGTAATCCATATCCATACTTGTTCTTGCATGCGATAATGCAAATCAGTGACAAAATGAAAAAAAATCCTCCAGGAGCTGTGTGTAAGGTCACTGCCTGTCAGAGCTCAGAGTGCACAAATGCAGGCAGGGGAAAATGAGAAAAGCAAAACAATTGACACCAAAACAGAGGATGTGGAAGGGTTTAAGATACATGCAGAAACAAACAATTCAACTACAAGTTCATGTCAGAGTTTATAATCTCACCCTACCAGAACATCGTTCCTAGGTTATTTGTATGCATTGTAACACGATCTGGGGAAAGAGGTTTCACTTGAATTCCCAATTGGATTTATTTCCATCAGTCTCCCACTAAGAGCTAGAGGAGGCTATTCAGCCCCTCAAAGGGGCTTATGGGTAATCAGTTCCATTTACACACCCCTCATTATCCTAACCCCAAATCAAGTAATCTAGGTCTTTAACACTTCAGTTTTACCTTCCAGTGATGTTCCTTTTGTTATTCCTCATCCTGCATAGATTCTGAACAGGGGTAATTTATTACTGCTACAAGTATTAACTGTTCTAGAGTTGGCTGTATCTAGCCTGCATTACGAGCTCGACAATGTTCCAGAGGAAGGAGGACAGGAGACCAAGTGGTGTACAGTATACTTGTTGCTAATAGTAGAAATTCCTGGCAAATTTCCAGACACGCACCTGGTAACTTTACAAATTGTGCTGGATGAAACTTCACTTACATCAAGCTATCGTCAGTTGGAATCCCCAATGTTGCAAATACAATCTGACAGCTGTCTGGATCTAGTTGTACTGCAGGTTATATTTTGTGTTTTTAAAAACTCAATCACTTTTTAAAAGAGAGAGTGTAATGTGAAAATCGTAGTTTCAGGAAAACCGAATGTCCTAGTTACAGTACAAGTTTCAAATAGGGCCCCAGTCAGGAACCCAGCACAGAATCTAGCTTGACACTTCATTGAGAGAAGGATCAGTGAACAGAGCACATGGAGTGAAGGCAGTTGGGAAAGGGATGAGAGAGATGGGGGAATTTTCTTTGGATCATAACTAAGTAATACCCAAGTCCATTTTCTGAAAGAGAAATGGAAAATGATTCAACTATATTTATCTAATTTTATTCAAAAAGTTAACATGAAATGAAAAAAATGGTAGTAGAGGTAGTTCAGCTCTAACACGTTTCATTGTGAATTGGCTGTAATGTGATTGATAAATAGTGGACACTGTTTGGATAACTTCCTGCTGTACAGGTATAGCGATTTTCTATAGCATGAGGTCACAAAAATGTAACTAGAGTGGAACTGAATGGCCTCATTCTGTATCACATTTTTGTAAACGATAAGAGGACAACGAAATCCAGAAAGGTTGGGTGAATTTTGCAACTCAGCAGCCTTGGAGATATCAAATTCCAGCTGGGGCTGTGTGAATCCTTCCCATTATAAGCTTCCTCACTTCAATTGCACCTGGCATGACCAAGTGTGGCACAGTAGTGTTAACAAGCAGGCTACAGAGGATCAAAATTAATTCTATAATTGCCATAATCACCAGGAGGGTAACAAGCCTTAAAAGGAAGAACCACTCTGGGATGTCTGACCAAAAAGAGCTTTGCAGCCAATGAAGTACTTTTTAAAAACATTTACTTACTGTTTTAGTTAGGAAACATAGCAACCAATTCCTGTACAGCACATTTCAACCACCTTGAAGACAAAATATTTTAAATTAATGTGGTTGATGGCTAAATGTCAATCCACAACAATGGAGATTTTCCACTGTTGTTCTTCATACGTTGTGGAATCTTTTCTGTTCATCTCATCTGACACAAGGTCTCGTGCATTCTTCATACCACACTAATAGTGTTAAGCTGAAGCATTCTCTGGAATGGGTCTTGAACGTAAACACATGACCTCACACCAGAGGCAAAAGCATCACCCACCAAGCCACAGCTCATTACGGCAGATGTTAACCTCCGTATCAACAGATTTAGGAAATGATCATTCTTCAACTGCACTTGAATGTGACATTAAACATCCCTATAGGAACTATTCAATAAAACAGGGTATCAATTAAAAGTTGCACACTTGACAAACCCTAATTTACATTTGTAAGTGCAATTTAGTATATAATAAATGATCCAAGACATGTCCTAGGAGTATTAGCAGACAAATTAATAGCTCTCCTAGTGTGGGTCAGTGTTAAGACATGGCCCAAAAGCTTGGTGCAAGAGATGAAAGTGGTTTAGGAATTTGGGAATTCTGAAGTCTGTAGCTTTGACAGCAGAAGACCATCCAGTGGTGCATTTTGCAAGAGGTCAGAATTGCACCTGCCTTCAAAGGTGTTGGCGATGAGCAGCATTCTGGAACTGCTACAGTCCATTTGACGTAGGTGCACCCATAGTGCCAGTAGGGAGTTCAAAGATTTTGACCCAAGGACTTGAAGGGATTGATGCTTAATCATAAGCCAATATTGATCTGTGACCACACTGAGTAACAGGTAAAATGGAACCCAAATAAATCCCAGGAGAATCTGGAGCTGGAGTGAGGTTACAAAGATGGTTTAAAAGATTCTCAATGCTATTTAAAAACAAAAAAAGCTAAAAAAGGGAAATTTCAGTTTAAATTCATAATATTATAATTAATACACATTATATTTCCAGGATCCTCCAAAAGAACTAAAATGGAATGAGGCGAAGTCAGTTCATATGCCATATTCTGGTTCAAACACCTGAAGAGAACTGGAGGGGAGTTTGAGGATATTCAATGCATTGGCTGGTAAAGACTGGTTCAGTGAGCACAATAATTTTCCCAAGAAAAATCAGGGTCATTACTGGCTCGGCCAGCATGCATTTCTCATTGCTAATTGCCCTCTGGGCAAACCACATTGCTATGGGGTTGGAGTCACACAGGCAGATTTCCTTCCTAAAAAGGACATTTACAACAGATCAATTGTGGTTACATGATCACCGTTTATTTATTTATTCCACTTTTTTTAAAATTTAAAAACTTGAATTCAAATTTCACCATTTCCCATAATGGGTTTTGAACCTATGTCTCCACAGCCTCTAGCCTGGATTCCTAAGTTACTAATCCAGTAACATTACCTTCCAAATTCACTCAAGTTGTGGATTCATAACCACACAAAAAAAATTAAGCACATTAAAAAAAAGCTGAGATAATAAATGGAGAAAAACAAACATTTATTTACTTATGCAATAATTTATTTTGTATTGGTTTGGACAACAAGCCACTTGATTGAAGACAGTTCCACACTGTGCACTTAACCATGACAGACTATTTAAAAAAGAAAGCAAGGACTTCATACACTAAGTTTATGAACTATACCATAATCATAAATGCTAAACTGGAGCAAGAAACTTAGCTACGATGCTATGTGTGAATAGGAAGACAGGACAAGGTGAAGACAGAAGAGGTGCACTACAGCACCCAACATATCCACTTAAGTTATAATTCCTGTTAAATATTTATTGATATGTAGAGCAAAACAATCAACCCTTCTTAGGATGTCCCAGAGGATTAATGCTTCCATGCTGCATTATGGTTCATAGAGTAACTAAAAATAGTCCAAAAGGAAATAAGCACAGAGATCTTTAAGCAAAGCATTTGAACTAAAAGAGCTATTTTCCTCATTCACACTATAAAACCTTGAGTGATTTTCAAGGTACATACACATTAATAGGTAGATGTCATTTTTAATGTGATCCTCATTCAATTGATTATTCAGACCTAAACATTTTGCTAAATGATGAGTGTATCACAAAGATGTAGTTTAACACCACTTCTAACTGGCATTTCTGGTTCATTCAATACAAGATAATTAACTTCAGATTCTTTATATACATTCAGGACACAAGCCACATAATGACCAGATAAGACAGAGACACATCCTGAAGGGAAAGTAACAGGCAGCCATCAATGATAAGTACAGAGATCTCATCGAGCACTCTTGGTGGATTGAATGAGGACTACGTTTATTTCCTTATTTGCAGCACAAAGTCATGAAGAACACTTAATCCAAGACTCACTCCAGAGATAAAATCTACAATAATACAATGGAGTACTTGGTGCCACTGGCAAAAAAGCAGCAATGAGCTAATAGCCATTGGTACAGCGTCAGCACCAAGGATGTCCTAGAGGGATAGTAAGTACTACATTCATGGAAGGCCAGCAATACTGGTAAAATATGTATAACTTCAAAACAGCAGAAGCTGCAAATAGGATATGTAAATTGGCTAGTGCACCGACAGCAAGTTTCACCTTGAAATAAGCTGTAAATGTGTCAGGTTTTAATATACTGATAACAAGTTTGAGTTAGATCGGTATCTGGGTCACTTGTTTCATTTTGGGTACTTACATATAGCACAAGAACTAAGCCTCTCTCAAATATATGGGCTCCTAACTAAATGCAAGCTACCTTGCACACAGCTAAATACTTGATAACTTGAACTCCTCCAGTGTTGCAATTCACAGATTTTTGCACAGCTCCAATTCTGGCCTCTTGCACATCCTTAATCAACGCACTGATGACAACTTTGCTTTTTGCTTACAAGCAGCTCCAGGATTCCTTCCCTAAATCCATCTGTTGCTTCTCTCCTCAAGAGCCTCCTTAAAAACATACCCTTACATCTACTTACACAAAAAAACAAATTGTGATGCTCTAAGTGTTAAAACAACAGAAGTTGCTGGAAATACCCTGCAGATTTGGCAGCAACAATGGAGATAAAGTTGAATATATGTTTCAGGTTACTAACCTTTTGTCCTCAATATCTGTGTGGCTTAAACAATGCTCCAGTGAAGCACCTTGGGTTATTACACCACATTTAAAAAATCCCATACAAAACAAACATTGTTATTTGTTCCTTACGTAAAAGGAGGCCACTTGTGATCCTAAGTGGTTCAGCTCGATAATTAATGAAAAGTGCTGAATGCAAAAGAAAATCCGGAGGTTAAACAAATGTAAATTTTGCTCCACGTGGATTTTATGCTCCATACATTTACAAAGTGTATTTATTAACGGTACCATGTTTTTGCTGGACAAAGGCTTCATATTTGAAATCCACTGAAGTCAGTTCTTCAATTTAAAGAGACCAAGGGGTTAAAAGTAAAGTTGTTTCAATTCCAGCAATTTATTTTGGTTTGCGAATACCTCCCCGCTGAGAACAAGTGTGTTTCATTTCATTAATGCAACTGCAACAAACCCAGCTTGGAAAATTTTAAAATCATTTCTCATTCCACAACTCCATAATGACTTAAAATGTTTGGGGAATTTGATAGACATTTGAAAATCCTTTTCAACCATCTAAAAGCTTGCATTAATTATAAAAGGGATCAATACCAACTTTTGGATAAGTAGTATTGGCCCATGTGACCTTCAGCTCAAAAGCAATAACAACAGGAACTAAGTTAAAGTGCAGAGGATCCTGGCACAAGATCGGAGAGACTGTGAAAAGAGCTTGCTGCTGCTTGCCTCAAGGAGAAAGGCTGGAATTCTGCTTAGAAGGACTATGTGGCTGAAATTTGAACTATACAGGCATGGTGTATTGTCTACTAATGCCATGTGATGCACAGGATTAAGAATAGAAGAATTACTGGCTTGAGTCTCCTCCACCATTCAACAAAACAACAACAGATCTGATGACTCCACAATCTACCTATCCTGATAAGCTTTCACCCCCTTGGTTAACAAAGAACAATCTACTTCTGTCTTAAAAGTATTCTCAGATTGGCTTTGTCTGTGGGAAATCACGTCTCACTAACTTGTCCGAGTTTTTTGAAGAGGTGACAAAGAACATTGAAAGAAAAGACAGCAGTGTACATTGTTGAATGCTTTGCTAAAGTCCAAATGGACAAAGTTCTGTATGGTAGACTGGTTAGCATGGTTAGATCACATGGGATCCAGGAGGAGCGAGCCAACTGGTCACCAAATTAGCTAGAAATAGGAGATAGAGGGTGGTGGTGGTGGAGGGTTGCTTTTCGGAGGAGACGTCTGTGACCAGTAGTGTACCATAAGGATTGGTTTTGGGTCCACTGCTGTTTGTCATTTTTACAATGATTTGTATATGAATAGAGGAGGCATGGTTAGTAAGTTTGCAGATGACACCAAAATACGTGGCTATCTCAGTACAATGGGACCTTGATCAGATGGGCCAGTGGACCAAGGAGTGACAGACGGAGTTTAATTTGGATTAATGAGCTGTTGTATTTTGGTAAGTCAAACCAGGGCAGGACTTGTACACTTAATGGTGGAGCCCTGGGGAGTGTTGCCAAACAAAAAAAGACCTAGGAATGCAGATGCATAGTTCCTTAGAAGTGGAGGCACAGGTAGACAGGGTGGTGAAGGCAGCAACTGTGCAGGACATTGGTTAGGTCACTTTTGGAATACTGCATACAATTCTGGTCACGCTTTTATGGGAGAGACATTAGTAAACTGGAAAGGGTTCAGAAAAGATTTACAAGGATATTGCTGGGACTGGAGAGTTCAAGTTATAGGCAGAGGCTTATAAAATCACAAGGGACATGGATAGCGTGAATAACCAAGGTCTTTTTCCTAGACTGGGGGAATCCAAAATTAGAGGGCATGGGTTTAAGGCGAAAGGGGAAAGATTTTTTTTAAAATAAAAGGATCTGAGGGTTAACTTTTTCACGAAGTGATGAGTGTATGGAACAAGCTGCCAGGCGAAGTGGCGGAGGAAGGTACAATTGCAAGATTTAAAAAAGGTATCTGGATGGGTACATGAATAGGAAGGGTTTAAAGGAATATGGGTCAAATGGAACTAGGTCAGATTGGAATGTAGTGAAGGGTCTGTTTCTGTACTAAGACTCTGCTTCCAGTGCCTTAAGTAGTGTTCAAAATACTTAGGTCAGTCTGACAAAACAAAATCTGTCTGTAGCTAAGTCTTAAAAGGGTGACCCTTTATTTTGAGATAGTGAAGCCTAGTTCTAGATTCTCCTACAAAACATCCTTTTCCATATGCCGTGTATAAAGACTCACCAGAATGATGTGCTTCTAACAAGTCTCCTCTTACTCTACGTTCTAGGAGTTAAAAGCCTAACCTCGCCAATCTTTCCACACAAAACACAATCTAGTGCAGCTGGAAAGTAAACCTTCTTTGATTTACTTCCAACTCATTTCAACTATGATTTGCTGATTAATTCAGACCATCTTGGCATTGACACTAACCAGAATCAAGAAGAAAGTTCAGAAAAAAAAAAAAATTGAGTCTTGTTAGTAGTTTCAGGCTCAAAATCAGTAAACTGTGGTTATTTCAGTTTTTGGATCACCAGAGGAAATAGGGTGCAGCAGATTATTTTTGAAGTGTTCAACATTATGAAGGTTTTTGGCAAATGGAGGGATGGCCAGCAACAGAGGATCAATAATTAGATCTCAGATTTAGGGTAATTTGAAAAGAAGCAAAGTATTAGTCAAGATAAATTTACAGATGCCAGCGCAGTATTTTACATTCTGGCTGCCAGAAAGGCTAGGATGACATGCCAGTGGCTAGGTTTTAAGGCACATGCTAATAAAAGGCCAACTTTCCCAGACAGCCCAGTCTCTCATCTCCTCAGTAAACTGAGAAGGATCCATTCTTTGGAAATTGTTTTTGGTATTCATTGCTGTCTAAAAGCATTTCAGAGAACTTTGTAAAGAAATTGGAATTAGAGGCATTGGAGAAAAAGTGACGCCGATCTTTCTAGCAGCATACTGCATCATTTCAAGCAGTTACAAAATTCAATTATTGGAGTCTGAAACAGTACGTGCTTGATGCAGCCAGGACAGCAGCTGTCTATTGCCAGATAAGAATTCAGAATAATGCGACATCTTAAAGCACAGACTGGCATCCAAACAGCTTCAAGTGAATCATTACAATCCAGCTAACAGACCATCAACACCAGCAACAGCTGGATGAACTCTTCACATTAAAAAAGATACTGGAGAATAAACAAAAGCCACTCAAACATGAAAAGGAGACCCAAAAAAAGATAGTAACATAAGATTTTATTTTTACAGAATGCAATTATGACAGTTTTCCCTCCAATTCATTCATGGATGTGGGCATCACTAGTTGGCCAGCATTTATTGCCCGTCAGAAAATAACTGCAGATGCTGGAAATCAAACAAAAACAGAAATTGCTACACTCAGGTGTAGCAGCATCTGTGGACAGAAAGCGGTTAACTTTTCAGATCCATGACTCTTCCTCAGAACCTAGAGTTACTGGAAATGTTAACTCTCTTCACAGATGCTGCCAAACCTGCTGAGTATTTCTGACAATTTCCCATTACCTATCCCTAGTTGCCCTGGAAAAGGTGGCAGTGAGCTGCCTTCTTGAACTGCTGCAGTCCACATGCTGAGAGTTGAACCACAATGTGGTTAGGGAGAGAATTCCAGGATTTTGACCCAGCAATAGTGAAGGAACAGCAATATATTTCTAAGTCAGGATGGCGAGTGGCTCAGAAGGAAACTTGCATGTGATGTCGTCTCAGGACCTATGAATTTCTGCAGTGCATCTTGTAGATGGATTCTTTTCAGATTGCAAAATAAATAACATTAAAACCAACTGACAGTGAAAAAAGTGCTTTAAAGACAACACAGTACTTAAATAAGTGTTCATAATATCAGCAAGCCATTTAAACAGAACAGCACAGTGAAAAAACTTAAACAATATTTAAGCAACATTAAGGGCTAATTGTTGGTGAATCGACTGGTAAAACTACAATGTTCTTTGAAATGAGTGTCATAATATATTTTAGGTTCCCCCAAGATGGTGGGCAGAGCTTGTTGAACATTCAATCTGAAAAACAGTCTAATGGACAATGCAGCACTCCGTCAGTTACTACACAGGACAAATGCTACTTCAGGTGGCCAAGAACATGTCAGCCCACAGCTAAATACCTAACTCAGGAGGGTAGCATCACTTACATTACAGAATTACTTACAGCACAGATGGGTGCCATTCAGACCTTGGCAAAAAGACAGTCATGCTCGCCGAGCTGGGTGTGAGAGATTGCAAACGCTTTGTCACCCAACTAGGTAACATAGTCAGTGCGCCTCCAGTGAAGCATTGGTGTTCTGTCCTGCTTGGTATGTATATGCCTCGGTTTGCTGGGGCGGTTGGTATCACTTCCAACAGAACACCAACGCTTTACCAGAGCTGCACTGAATGTTACCTAGCAGGGTGTTGAACAACTACAATCAAAAACACTGGCTCAGCAAGTCTACAACCTCATCCACAACCAGAGCTACAAGTCTTCTCAAAAACTTGAAGAGCAGTCATGCTCAAGCCCAGAGCTAAAATACTGTCAGTTCCTCAAGCATGAGAATCTGCCCAAATCCAGTTTAAAATTACATACGGAATGACTTTTCACCACTTTTCAGCAGGGATTCCAGATCCTGACAAGTCAGTGAAAAAATTCTAGATCTTAGTCACTCATTTTAAATTAACTCTGGTCATTGGCACATTTGCCAAAAGGGATCATTCATCCCCATCTACACTACCAAAAATCACGTAGAAAACCTCTACCTCAACACTACCTTCTCATTTCAGATTGTTGGCCTTGAACCTTCCCACCTTATCATAATTGATAGTCCTGATTCCCTAACATCCTAAATAAATTTCCTCAATGCTTTGTCTATTGCCTTCAAATCTTCACTGAATCATGCTGCCCAAAAGTGATCCAGTGCTCCAGAACAGAAGCTTAACCACACAATTTATAAATTTCTAACACAATCCTATTTATATTGTGCTTTGTTTGTAGTCCTAAGAAACTCTAGCTGTCAACCTTCTGTGTGAACCAGACTTTTCAAAGTCACAATTTTTAAAGTATTGTCTTTCCATATTATCCTTTCATAAAAACTTAATGCTTGTCTGCACTGAATTCTATTTGGCATGCTTTTGCCATTCAATCATCTGTCATCCTGAACCCTGTCACAATACAGTACACGTTGCCAAGTTTTATATCAACTGCAAATCTTATAGCGCACCACATTCCAAGTCCTTTATATAAAAAAAACTTGGTTGAACCAGCCCCACCACCCTAAAATCATGCAACCACTTGTTTAACATTGAGTGAAATATGTTTACCATTGGTTTTGAATCATTAATACTCTAAAGCAGTAGCTGCATGGACTGTAAATAATTAACACCAAAATGCAGTCTAAGAATCAGTTCCAAGCCTCAAAATACTGACCTTTTAATATCCTAAGCACTAACTATAATCCATCTCACAAACACTAAGTCAACTTACATGCACTTGAGCACAAGTCACCAACTCAAAGCACATTGCCGACTCTCATATCTTACCCTGAATTCTATGTTCTGTGGTGTTAAAAAGGCCTTTGTAATTAGTATGTCAAGTTGAAACAGAGGAAATTAGAGCAGAAATAGGCCATTCAACCCTGTGTGACTACTTGACCATTCAATGATCATCGCTGATCATCCAACTCAGTATCCTGTTTCCCACTTTCTCCACATAGCCCTAAGAACAGGAGACAACTGAGTATATGCCTTGAATTCCAATTACAACACCAAGCAGGACGAATAGGAATAAAAAGGACCAACACTTGTGTAAAGTATGTAACCAAAAGTAGATCTCAATGAAGTAAAACTCAGGGTGCAAAGCACAGAAGTTCTCATTTATAATCTCATTGTCACGTCCAAGGGTGAACAGTTATTATTAGTTATTCGGAATCATTTCTGATACACAAAAACACAATCTCCCCCAGCCACCTCAAACACCATTGCAATTACAAATTCTAAATTATAAATGGTAGCAGTTACACTTCTATCCAAAGGGGAAAAAATAAAAAACCATAATTCACAAATTCATTTTAATTGACAATGTTCTCTTTACATAATTGTAAAAACACCAAAACATAAGGAATCTGAAAATTACTCCATAATTAGTAAAATGCACTATTGAAAGACAGCAAACATCAAGCATTTGTTTACACTAATAACAGCCGTCATTTTTAAAAAGCAAAGAACGTTTTTAGAAACAGTGGTACTTGGTATAAATTCTGGACCAGAAGAATCAAGACTTGAGATACTGGTTAAATTCCATATAAATCTAAGTGAGCACAGCCAATTACCATAGCATTTAACATCCCTATTTAGATAAATTGGGATTTCTCAGAAGTCTTAGAAAAAGCAGATAAAAGAATGACTAGTATACACAAATAATCATCAAGAAAATTACAATGTGAATGTGGTTATGGAAACTTAAAAAGGACAGGACAGTAGTGGAGAGGGTCAGTCTCCACCTCCAAGGATAAAGGTCATAACCCAGATTTTAATACAAAATAGGTACAGAACATATTCATTACATGCAAATACAGAAATAGGAGCTGATCAGGTAGTCCCTCAAAATTTGATCTGCCAAAATTGTATTGCTCTTCCATTTAATAGACTTCGCTATTTATCTGTTAATACCCTGACTTACTAATTAAAATGTATTGAAGCTCCAAATGATTAACTTGCCTTCCCCATCACACCGCACCCAACTATCTGAATAGTTAGTCATTAATCAGAAAATGTTCTTGTTATGGAAACCATGATTGGTTAAAAATAGGGTCCCTACCAAATTTTTGAAAAATTTTAAACATCTTGAATATATCATCCAAAATTCTGCTCTGCTGTCATAATCTTTTCGCCATTGATGTGGAGCTTTCACAACATGCAGAAAGATTGACAAGTTTGGGTTCTTCATAAATGCAGGTTCCTGAGTCACCTGTCTTAATGTCTCAACGTAGCTGACTGAAACTATATTTGACAATCATCCTATAAAGTACCTTGGGACATTTTACAAATTTAGAAACATACTTTTTCTCCAAAGAGAAGGTCCAAGAAGGATGACTTCTAGGAGGCAATGAAGAATGATGGAAGTTTCAATTGAAAAGACAGTATTTTCACTTGTGGAAGGGAAAAAAACAATATGCTGTTAATGTCAAATTAGTCACCAAGGAATCAAAAAATTCAGAAGATATTTCTACCTAGAAAGTGATGAGAATATGGAATGGCTACCATAGAATAGCTGAACAATAAAAAGATAGTTTCCTTTTAAAAGTAAATGCAAAAGAAAATGGGAAGTGTTACATTGATCAAGTTCAATGACAAAGGATGGAAAGCAGCTCAAGAGGAACAAAGGCTTACTTGGACTTATTTAACCATTAACTCTCTTCTGGGCTGTGAACTCTATGTAACTGAGATGAATCTTCCTCTGAACAATCTAAAATACTCAAAACATTAACCACTGGATGGGTTAGGTTGACAAACAGGTTAATTTTAAAACACTGTTGTTGCATAATTATTTATCTGGTGTGTGGCTAATTTTCTCTGGAGAAAATACCAGAAATCTGGAGTTGAAGAACTGAATTAATCACATCAAGTTTTTAAAAAAGCGGTTTTGCAATGTCAGCATAGTCCAGAGGTCAGCAGAAACATGGCTAAATGATTTCCCATGGCAGCTGAAACATTGGGAAGCCAGTTATACATGATTTCGATCATAAAAAAGGCCGCAGAACTTTAAGCATATGATTACTGAACTTAGAAGTCCCTTCATCAGTCTTACAAGGACAATGACTGCCTTCCAATTCCAAAATGGAGGCTCAAGCTCTTTACAAGTTAGAACCTAGAAATAATTGAACAATCAGCCAACCCTTAAGAAATAACACACCGACCCGAAACAAAATATAGTATTAATAATAGAGGGACTAAAACAGTTCTTTTATAATACATACTACAACAGCCAAAAAGAGGACATCCAACCACCCATTCATATGGCAGTGTGGAAAGTCTCTTAAAATAAGCTGTGTTTTCTACACCCAACAAGTTTTAATCAGGAGTAAAGCAAGATGGTTATCTTGAAAAAATGGCAATGACAATCTACAATATCCCTTGTACTTAAGTTTATCACCACTAAAATCTGGAGTTACACAATCATTAACTTGCATGGGTTTTGTTAAATGTATTAGTGATGCTAGATTTCAAAGTGGGTCTGAAGTTGTAGTTGATCAGCTCATTAACCCATAATCGCTTGGACATCTCCAAGCACCAGCTCTCAATTCTACAAGGCTGGTTGATGATTACACAAGAAATCTGACCTTCTAGTCCTGATCAAATAGCCACACATTTGCCAACAGTTGTTGTTTTGACCCCAGCTCTGCGATCTTGACTACAGTCCAATTTTATTTTTAAAAAAATAAGGCTTGTTTCTATCTTGGGCAAAGGGGACCAATCTTATAAATTGCAGTCCACTTCTCAGAGCTGATCTGTATGGCTGGTTTTTAGAAGCAATTTTCAATGCCAAATGGAAGAAACATATGACTACTGGTTTGTGGGAAATGGTGAAATTTGGTATTGTTGGGTAGGGTCTGCAGTGCAGATTTTAAGGCAGATAGCTAGCATAGAGTATACAGCATTGAAACATGCATGCTTCAATCATTTTAAAACACAAATGTGCACAATTATGACACCAAATTCCCAAGGAGAGATAAGCTCCTTTCTCTATAGTTAATGCTTCCAAAAGTATGTGGACAGATACCACAGCACAAGAATAAGTGGTTTAAGCCTGCAGCTCAATATGCCTCACAAAGCAAGTTATGCAGCAACACTTGACCAGAACAACAGTAAGGAGTTGAACTATTCCTTCCAAAAAGGCAAATATCCAAAGATGAAGCAAGCCAGTGACAAGGCTTGACTGCTTATTTGTTGGAAGTGGATTTGCACAAGCCAGAAATAATTCCAAATAAATAACTTGATTGAAAACCCAGAGAAAGGATACTATAAAAACACTTGGCAAGTCAAGCAGGAATTAACTGAATTTATCTTAAAAATACACAATTGTAATGAGTTCATATGCACCAATCCTTTCATCTTTCTGGATCTAACTGGAAGGGGATTTGTTTATGTGTTCAGTCAGCCAGCACTATTCTTTCTTGACATAAAAGGCCAAGTTACAAGCATTTCAGTTATATAATAGCAAACAGCAGAATAATTATTCTGCTCCACTGCAACTTCTGTAGTCTCAAGGAGTGCAGCAGAACAGAGTAGCATGTGACATATACTGCTTTTCAATGCTGATGATTCAATGCTATTACTTCAGATTCTTGCCTTCACAGACCTCAAGGCCCTGGCTCAGCTGAGCAGAGCCAATGTCTTTACATCTCCCATCATGACTCTTAAGACTCTGCTGAAAATTCTTAAGACAAGCATTAAAGTAATGGGTCTATATGGGCATTTTCAGATCAGTGAAACTCTCGTGCAGCAAGAACCCAAAGGAGAGATTGCCTCTAACACTTCCAATCATCAAAATGGGAGGCAAGGTGAGTGAGGGTGGGGCTGTAAAATATCATGCTTGCAAAATAGTGGTCAGAGACTGGACCATCATATTTGTCCTCTTGGATATATTCTTGATTGTACACCAGCGTGTTAAATTACAATCACAGTTCCGTCTAAAAATTTGCTCATCCAAAAAGTTAATCATTTTCAAGGTGGAAACAGCTAAGTTTAAGTGGAATCATAACATTCTTACAAAATCAACACAAACTGAAGTATTATTTCAAACTCATACTGCAGGAGCAAGGACATGAATGAGTGTACATGTATCAGATCACAGGACAGCAATCCCAGAAGAGAAAAAGAACTGAAAAAGGAGTGCACTAGACAGTGAGAACTGACAGAGAAATCAAGTAAAAGCACTCATGACAAAGTACATGTATGCAAGGAGTGAGTACAAGAAAGGAATCAGGAGTGTCAAAAAGGAAACCATTTTATGTCTCTTTATACAATTGACTAAGTTGGTCAATTAAAGCTACTAACTGTGGGTTACCTCCTAAACAGTCAATAGTTTTGTAAGCTTCCGATTCCAACATTTTGAGTGTTTCTCTGGTGTAATCAAAAGAACCCACCTTTTCAAGATAACTCACACAGTATTTCTTTACATCTATATTTTCAGTCCTCTGTCGCAAAATATTCTGCACTTGTGTATTTTCTGGATGTGACCAGATAGCATGAATAAGGGGGAAAGAAAACTTCCCCTCTGTTAAATCTTCAGCAAACCCCTTGTTTGCATTGTATTCAGCGGCTAATAGGTTTCCATAATCATCACGTATTTGGAATAAAAGTCCCAGTGTGTCAAGAAGAGGCTTCAAGTCAGATTTATTTTCAGAGAACAGTTGCATGAGGCCGACAACTAGTCCAAAGAGTCCTCCAGTTTTCTGTAGCACCATGGCCTTGTAATCTTCCAATGTGGGACATGTGTATGTATCTCTCCAATAGATGTCCAAGCCTTGACCTCTATGTAGCTCAAGTAGCTGTTGTGTGAAGACTTTAATGGCCTCTGGGTGGTCAAGAGTCAACACCTTCTCCAGACTCAAAAAGTAAACATAGTTGGCAGAGTTTATGACAGATGGAATACCATAGATACTGTGTGCCACAGGAAAACCACGGCGCAGCTTAGAATTATCCTCAATATCATCAATCAGCAAACTAGCACTGTGTAACATTTCCGTAACTTCTATGATGACCTAGAGCAAAAACAGAAATATTGAAAAAAGAGAAAAAAGTGTAAAGATGACATGCTTAAAAAAGATTGACCAATTTTAGCTCCATAGGAAATAACACAATCACCAGATCTGGCTTGGCTACATCAAGCTTTACGAGAGCTTTATCAAATCCCATCCTGGTTTTTTTTAAAAAAGCCCTTTCTAATCCCTTCCCATGACCCCCTCCTTTTGATTATGCCTCACTGAAGCCTTGCAGGGATTTTCAATGATAAAAAGATGCTGTAGAATACAATTTATTATTAAGTGGTGAATGAGATTGACTTACTGAATGTCTTTAAGCTTCAGTTTATTTGCAACACCATTTTAGCACCAAATTAGCAATTGTTGGTAGGCAAATTGAAAAATTAACAGCACAACAGCAAGCAGTAATCAAGCACTTCAAAACAGCTATCCAATTAGTCCAATTCCCTCATTTTTCACCATTGTCCTTCAAATTTGTCTTTACTTTTTATGATAACTTGCAGCATAAACAAAGTTCACATCTTTTTTCTGGCTCTTCTGCTAATTACATAATGATGTTGGAGATCGTTAACCAGACAGCACAAATTTAGTCAACACGACTAGTGAAGACAATGTATCCCCAACTACTCCTTCAAAACTCCTTTTGAGTAACTTAAATCTCCCAGTCATCATCTCTACTCCAAGAAATTTAAAAAAAAAATCCTATTCTTCACTGTCCCCACTAACTCAAGTTCCTCTATCCAGGTACCATTTAAGTCATTATACTTTGCATCTCCCCAACACTTTGTTACTTCCTAGACTGGAGGAACAAGAATATTCCAGCTGAGTCCTAACTAGTGATTTAAGGCTTTACCATGACTTCCTTACTTTTGCACTCTATACCTAGGATTTTGAGTTTTACTGAGATGTGTTTCTAAAGTAGCCTGAGTTGTCATCTTCAAAAAGTTGAGAACTTAAATTTAAAAAAAAAATCACTGAATAGAAACAAACTTGAGCATTTCATAGCCAATAAAGTGTAATCTGACCAGTGATTTGATCTCAGTTTGAAGAGGACCAATCGTAACAGTATTTTCAACCCGTCCCAACAAAAAGTTGTGCTGAAGTCATAGCGGACCCGACATACGAATTGTTTCTCTCTCCATAGATGCTGCAAGGTCTGCTTCGTTTCTCTAGCATTTAGTGTTTCAAATTTCCAGCATATGCAACATTTTGCTTTTTAGACAAGTATTATAAAGGTATACAGAAATATTACACGGTTTCTATATGTAGCAGAGGTGTCACTTCTCATTAGAGGCGGGGTGGGACAAATTGCTTTCACAAGTCTTTGGTCATCAAAAAACCTTAAATCATTGTGGTATCATATTTCAGCTATAATAAGCTCTGGGAGTTCCCAGCAGTACCGTGAGCATTTTTGGGTCTCAAACTTTAGGGAAGATATCCCAGTCTCAGAAACAAAGTAGATTTACAAGAACTACCTCTGGATCTCAGTTACAAGAACGAGATTATTCAACTAGTATTATATCCAATTTATAAACTTATGGCGTGGTTTGATCCAGGATTTCAAGGTATTAACCGACATACACATTTTCTTTCCCTACTTTTTTTGCTGGGTGGGACAAAAACTAGGAGGTAGTGTCAAAAAAAAAAAGCCTGAACTTTCAGGGTTTAAGTTAGTAGTCACTTCAACTCACTAAAAGGAAGCTCGAAATTCACCTGCTGAAACACAATTAATGATAGACCAATTGTGAAATTCAAATTCAAAAATTGTAGATGTGTGTTGACCGAAGTCTAAGCAATTGGAGCAACGGTTGCTGTGGAGTTAGGTCATAGATCAGCCATGATCCAACTGAACGGTAGAACATGCTCAAGTGGCTAACCAACCAACTTTTATTCCTATGGTTGCAATGATCATTTTGGTTTATAAAAATATTTGTACTTCAGAATCATTTATTCAATGACTGAAATGAATGGTAAAAACTGAACAATGAGTGCAATTTCACTTTTCCATTGACAGCAAGTTCAGTGTTCCAGTCAATGCAAGTAGCAGCATACTACAGAAAGACGTGGAGTAGAAACCGGCCATTCAGCCTATCAAGTCTGCTTTGCCATTCAATGAGACCATGGCTCATCTGACAACCCTCAGCTCCACTTTCCTACCTTCCACTACTCCAACAACCCCGGATTCCTTACTGATTAGAAATCTGTCTCAGCACTAATATCGGGAAATGACCAGATAAGATCACATTAGATTTGGGCAGCAGCAGCATTTCATTTGAGCATGATTTTTCTGTTCAATGAAGTTCAAGTCAGCAGTGACAAATAGCTACAAAGTCATTGTTACTAGCAAGTTAAAAAAGTGTACTGGCCTTGCCACTATTAAAATATCATAACACCAATGTAGCCCAATAAACCCCAGAATCCAAGGGCATCTGAATTTTCAATCCACTTCAGAGTCACTGACAAAGACATTTTGATATTAATTAGAAAGAAACCTTTTCCAGCCATTTCCAAAGCTACATGTAGCTATCCAACTGCACCACTTAAGAGTGATATTAAACTCAATACTATGTTCAGCCTAGTCTCAGATGGGAAACTAGATATTTTCTAATCAACCCTGTCCAGAGATGTTACTATGCACCTCTGGTACAGGTGGGATTTGAACATGGGTTTCCTGACTTATGTGCCTCATATGAATCTAGTCTAAGCCTCAAATTAAAGAAACTGGACAAATTTTGAGAAAAACAGGGAGCCAATTTTAGATAGGCATACAGGACGATTTGGATTTCACAGATTGGTGCAATTCACAACATGCTGTTTGCCAGTTACACTTGGCAACATGGTGTAGGATTTCAAACCTATGCTCATGGGAATTTCTCACATTTAGATTTGAGACAGTCTGGCATAGTGTCAAAATTTGGTACTTTCCTTCCTAGCCTATGGTTTCTGTTGCTGAATACAACTCCCACCCACAATGGATGTGTGTTTCATTGGGTAGTTGAGTGTCCTTTGGAAAGGACAGCCATGGGATGCCCAGAGAAGCTGAGATTGCACTGCAACATGTTTCCTTTCTCCACATTTAAAGGTTCAGCAAGTTAGAAACATTCCAAAACAGTAGGTACTGCATGGTACTAAAATTTTACCCATATATGACAGGTCAAAAAACAAAAACAGACTCCTTCAAAATTTCCTGAAGGTCTCAAATCTGAAAACCCACGTTTCAATAGCAAAGTTAAAAATGGAAGTGCAGTGTCAATACATCACAAAGTTGCACTCTTATTAAAAAGAGGGACACAGGAATGGACAGGATAGAAAAATATGCTACAGAGAAATGCAAATGCTGACCCTGTTATAACTAGCAATGACTAGCTGTTCTCTTTTATTCAACAGGTCTTTCGATAAAGTGTTTCAAAAATCATTGGGCAAGACATTCTTATGGCCAGACAGACATTCCTGCAGTGCAGCATGGAGTTGTGCAGGAAAATCATTTGGAATCCCTGATGCAGCAGATATGGGAAACACAGGAAATTGAGTTTTCCTATCCCATGCAATTGGAACCCTCTGAAAGAGTCCAAAGACTTAGAAATGTGAAGGTCCTGCCTCACTTAAGCAAAGAGCTCAGGAAGTGTTAGAGGTTTTAAAGTTAACTCCTGGATAACATAAGGTGTTACCTTCCCTGACCATCTCCTCACCAGATCCCATCTCCCCCCATCATTATCCAGAACTAGCTCCTGCCACCAACCTGACATCCACCTCCCTGGCCCAACATCTTGATCACTCAGGAAAGGGGGCTGGGGGTGGGGTGTGTGCAAGGGGCATTCTCTGAATAAGGAAACACTAATGGTCAGAAATTACTATAGATCACATATTGCTGTTTAAAAAAAAGCTGGGTGGTTTGAGTAGGTGCCACGGACAACTCATTCTTACAAACAAGATCACTTGTAAACAGGTCTGTAATTTGTACTATTACACTGTATTGGAGAAGTATATTCAATGTGGCCTTCACATCTTCGAGTTTTAAAGATCAGTGAATCTACCAGTGCTTTGTGGGCATTTTACATATCCATTATTCCTCTTTATACCAGTTAACCGTTACTGCTGGAAACAATATTTATTCTCGTGGCAAAGCACAACAGTATCTTACTTCCTAAGGAGGATATTCTTCCACTTTTACATCCCAAAAGGACAGTGAAGTGACAATGGCAAAAAAAAAAGCATTTTCTTTGGACAGCCTTCAGAATGATTTTAAAGGATCAAACACACAGGATCACTCATTGCCACAAAAAATGCTTAAGAATTTTTTTTGGTCATTACCTCCATATTTTACAACTAACTCCCATCAAAATGAAATTAAAACCCTCATTCCCACTAGTGGAAACTAGACTTTCATAACTCAGAACTTGTCAATAATTTTTTTAAAAAATTAGATCACTGAAGTCTCTTCTGCTGCCTTCACCTGGAGCAAAAAAAAGTTTGGTTTCCCAGTTTAAATTCTAGCATAAGTGGGCTACTTTTGACACGCAGTGATTTGAAAGGGGGACAGCAGAATAAATACCAGGACTAAGAGCTAAATTATGTGGGAAGATTGCACAGGACATTCTCCCTGGTAGGAGAAACTGAGAACAGAGGAGCATAACCTCAAAATTAGAGCAAGGCCATTTAACAGTGATGTCAAGAAGCACTTCACAAAGGGAACTGGAAATCTGGAACACCACCTCAATAGCTATTGAGTCAACTCAAAATCAAGTCAAACAGATTTGTGGTAGGCAAGAATATCATACATAAAACAAGGGCAGGTGAATTGAGGAAAAACAGCTCAGCCAATAATCCAATGGGAAGGCCCACAGCTGTTCCCATGAGATAGACGTGTTGCAAGACAAATCTTAGCTACATTCCCACCTTCCAATTCCCAAGCATCACATGATTTTGTGGAAGAAATTAAGATTCCAGAAATGGTGCCAGACCATGAATCAGAATGCAGTGCACGACAGAAGGCAATTGAT